CCTCCATCATCGGGGCGATGATAATGGAGGCAGTAAGCACCTCTGAAACTTTGCTTACGACGTTCCAGAAGGCTGTCTGTCAACTACAAACTCGCTGCCGTGAGAACTTGAAATCCCACCTGTGCAAACGAGTTTCGCCAGCATTACAAAAAGAAAAGGAAAATATGGATGTTAACACAACTGACTGTAGTAGACGGGACAACTCAGTACGTGGTTAAGAGCTGGGCGAACAGCCTTAGATTCATGGCTGAGGAAGACATTTTTTTACTATGCCACTGTACCCAGTCTGGGGCCCATCCACCGTCCTATAAAATAGATAACGTGGATAATCTTTCCATGGGTAAAGAGGCCAGAGCGTTAATATGATTATTAACTCAACGAAACCTACTACCGACCCCAACTATGCCCTTGACAACCAACCCATTAAAAAGCAACGCAGCCCAAAATTAAGTAACAATTCTGATGCGTTCACTATCTCACTGCTTCTAGATTTCCAATTCGCAAACACTCTCTCATAAGTACACTAAGTAGTTAGGGTAAGCTGTTCGTTTGCGTTTGGGGAACGGCGACAATGACGTCAGAGTTGTCTACGATCAGCGACCTCTCCAAGGGCGGGGTGTCTGGCGGCTGTCTAGCCGGGCGATTCCATCATGGGGATTCCCGATGAGGTTATAAGGGTTATGTCTGGGGATTCCCCACGCGGTTTTAAAACCACTTTCGATGCTGAACTGAAGACACTCAAGAAATTCAATTTAAATGTTCAACAGCTGACAATGATTCACTTCCGGCTGCTAGTTTGTATGCAGTCCATGAAAGTGACACTGGGGTAAAAATGTAGGCATTTCTTTTGTGATAGAAACTGGCATAGCTAAGTCAATATAGTGACGAGGCTGAGGGTTGCGTTCTGTTCTTGGCAGGGCAGGCCCGCTCTGGGGCCCCCAGTGGATGCCGGGAATCTTTCCTCGGCGGTAAGGCGGCTGCTCACCTCAATCTAGTGGCCGGGTTTGGAAAGCGTGGAGCTATACCTTCACTCCACCATTCGTCTACATGGCATAGAGCTTCCTTAAGCATCAGGGACAAGATCACTCTTTCTTTACCTTTGTGCTATAAAACCACGCCACGAAGAAGAACAATGGATCTGCACTAAACACTACGAATTCCATTTTTCATATGTATTGGTTGGCTGAAATCGAAGTCGACTGTCATCTTCTGGGTTTTGACGTCGTGTGGGCTTGTGAGTACATTTAGGAATAACATATTCCCTCCACATTCACAGATCAAACCTACGTTTCTAAAAGAAAATTGAAAATAACTCGTCGTAGGTAAATTTGTAAATGACCTAGAACGTGCATCTTATTAAAATACAACTTCTATTCGAAACAATTGTCACAATGAACGAAACACAAAGAAAATTATTGGCATCTTTGAGCAGTGCAACAAAATACCAAAACAACTGATTAGTTCTGTCAACAATTAAGTCAAATAGTAAGATGAATGAGGAATATACAGAATGTGGAAGGCCCACTTTAATGTGCTCTCCCATAAGTGTCATAGAGATCCTGAGGAAGACAGGAACAATATTAGAATGACCTGTATCCAGGGCAAGATTCGAATCAGAAACCTTGCAGATACGAAACAAGAATGCAATTCATTCAACTAGGGCAGTCAGCGGGTCTATGTAGGTTTTCCCAAGTATCATAATTCTGTCACAGAATTGGCTTAGTGTACACAACATCTTGGTTTTATAAAATACGAATGAATGGTTATGAACAGTAGCTTCGGGAACCAATGTGTGTAATCCTGGTATAATAAGAACTGACAGCAAGCTGACCCGCACAACATATATGCAGTAACATTATTCTGCACACGTGCGAGAGAGAAGTGCTCGGCACATGGAACAACATGGCTACAAACGGGCTCAACATCCAAGCAGTCATAACACATC